ATAGATCTTTTACTCTTCTTCCGTTTCATAAATTCTCATTAAAATGATCCAAAGAGTAAACAAATATGGAAAAATCTGTAGCAGCGGCACTAAAAACCAAGGATGGGTATTGCCTCTGTGCCAGAAACTAGAGGCATTTTTGCTGAATCTTTAAAAAAAATTTTTTTAACAGATTTATTGAAATATAATTCATATACCACACAATTCACCCATTTAAAGTGTACAATTTAGTGGTTTTTAGTATGTTAACAGATATGTGCAGTCTGAATCTTAATGTTATGAGAACTGGTTGAAGGAAGCCATTGAGAGTTGAGTCTTATTTGTCTGGAAAGTAAAAGAAAAGGGCTATGAAAAGCAAGGGCTGTTCCACTTTGGGAGGTGGCGAAAGGGGAGTGAGGAGAGACCTTTTGGGAAAACCACCCCTTAGGCCCTGTGGTCAACATTGTTGATTGGTAACCCATCCACCCATTGCCAAACCCTTTCTTCCCTGCTCACCTCCACTATATAGGCTGAAAGAGCTAAACACTTGCTTTTACAGCCACCTTATAGCTAGGGGTGCCCATGTGACACAGTTTTGAACACTAAAGGTTTTCTGGGAGACTTCTGAGGAAGCTTTTGCTTTCCTGAAAAAGCTATGGGTGTGGCTGGCATCACATCTACCCTCTTTCTACCTTGAATGTTTGTGATGCCTAGAGCTATGGCAGCCATCTTGTGATAATGAGGGAAAAGCCAAGAGAATGTATTTACTATACTAGGAAACAATAGCTCTTTGCACGGAAGACTGTAAATTCAGGGGGAAAGGACCTATGAAGATTATGCAGTTCATAAGAAGAGGACCACAAAGTTTTGAAGATTTGGAGAAGCTGTTTTCTTCTGAAGTAAAATAGAGGAAGTTTTTAGAAGATATTAGATTTGTCTCATAAAGAGGATTCAAGGGATATTCCCTCTCTTCAACTAAGGCAAACCATCACTAGAAGGATATAATCTTAAATCGTGAAATAGTAAATAATGATGAAAAAAATTGTTTTAAATTTAAAGCCCCAATAGAAACATTGAATAGACAATTGGGCATGGCAAAATATTGAAGAGTGAATTAATTTAAGGAAACAGAACACAAAGTGACAGATAAAAAATTAAATTAGATAAGAAAATACAGAGAACAGATCTAGGGATACAATTTAGAGCTAATAAATGTCTCTGAAAGAACAAAATAATTTGGGGCAGAAGTAATCACCAGGGAACTATTGGAGGAAAGCCTTCCTGATCTAAAACAAGACCTCCAGCTGAAAATTGAGTGAATCAGCAACCTCCA